GAGTTTTACTGAGGGATGACAAGTTTCACTGAGGGATGACAAGTTTCACTAAGGGATGACAAGTTTCACTGAAGGATGACAAGTTTCACTGAGGGATGACAAGTTTCACTGAGGAATGACAAGTTTTACTGAGGGATGACAAGTTTCACTGAGGGATGACAAGTTTCACTAAAGGATGACAAGTATCACTGAGGGATGACAAGTTTCACTGAGTGATGACGAGTTTTACTGAGGGATGACAAGTTTCACTGAGGGATGAAAAGTTTCACTGAGGGATGACAAGTTTCACTGAAGGATGACAAGTTTCACTGAGGGATGACAAGTTTCACTGAGGAATGACAAGTTTCACTGAGGGATGACAAGTTTCACTGAGGGATGACAAGTTTCACTGAGGGATGACAAGTTTCACTGAGGGATGACAAGTTTCACTGAGGGATGACAAGTTTCACTGAGGGATGACAAGTTTCACTGAGGGATGACAAGTATCATTGAGAGATGACAAGTTTCACTGAGGGATGACAAGTTTCACTGAGGGATGACAAGTTTCACTGAGGGATGACAAGTTTCACTGAGGGATGACAAGTTTTACTGAGGGATGACAAGTTTCACTGAGAGATGACAAGTTTCACTGAGGGATGACAAGTTTCACTGAGGGATGACAAGTATCATTGAGAGATGACAAGTTTCACTGAGGGATGACAAGTTTCACTGAAGGATGACAAGTTTCACTGAGGGATGACAAGTTTCACTGAGAGATGACAAGTTTCACTGAGGGATGACAAGTTTCACTGAGAGATGACAAGTTTTACTGAGGGATGACAAGTTTTACTGAGGGATGACAAGTTTCACTGAGGGATGACAAGTTTCACTGAGGGATGACAAGTTTCACTGAGGTATGACAAACAGAAGTTACAACTGGGGCCGAAGCACACATCATCACCTGTTTGCAGCCGGCTGCAGGTGATATTTACATTCAATGTTGACCTCTGAGAATACTATGTAGTCAAACCCCCCAGTCTTTTCCACAGTGCAACTCTCACACCACTGTGTGAAAGCCATCAGAAAAAACAAAAAACAAGGAGGTATTCAAATGCTGTTAGCAATCACAGGAATGGTTAAAGTGTCTTTTTATAAAGACTAGCTCTGAAACAGGGATTGTTAATTCAACAAGGATTATTAGTCAACATACATTTCCAACGGCTAAAAAAAAAAGCATATATATTGTCTGTTTTAGTATCCAGAAGCCATGAGTTGTTAACCCTTAGACTCAGTATTATGGATATCGCAACCTTTCGGCCTTGATTCCATTGTAAATACCGTAAATCCGGGAGAAATGTGGCTTTCCTGCCTATCCCCGGGATTGAGCCTGAACCACAAGGAGTTCGTCACCCGGTCTCCGCACAATCCGGTTTAGCCAACTACACTAGAGAGCCGGGCAAAGCATATATATACAGAGGTTTCTTCTTCTTCTTCTTAGCAGTCAGCTGCTGTAAACTCCAGCGGAAAGTCCCAGCTTATCATCCACTTCTGGACCTTAGTCCTGTTCTTGTTTTGCATGCGTGTCTGTTTTACAGATTTGGCCTTTTTGTATGCAAGCTGTTAGTTCCTTGTCTCTCACGCACATGCACTCTGAGGGAAACACCCCTAACTAGTCACCTTTTATGACATTCTTGTTTGGAAGGATGGGGGGGGGGGGGATGGGGGTGGGGAGGAGGGGGAGGGGGGTATCATGGAAGCCATAGAGGTAAAGGAAGTACTTAAAATGCTGTTAGTTTCTTCAGGGATGGTTAAAATGTCTTATTTATAGATTAGCTTTGAAACCGGGATTGTTCTTTGAACAAGGATATCATACAACAAACACTGACAACAGTAAAACTGTCTTATGGTGTGTGAGTACGCGCATATGTGCATGGTGTGTGCGTGTGCATGCATGTGTGTGTGTGTGCGTGTGAAAAAAGCCCAAGCAAAGGTAGCATTATGCAAAAGGAAGAATATTTTATGCAGTCTTTCTTTGTCAACTGAGTCGAGAAAGATAATTCTTAAAAGCTATATAAATCTTATCCTAACATATGGAAGTGAATCATGGACAGTTAGTAGATTAGTGAGAAATTATTTGGAAGCAGCGGAGATTTAGTTTTATTGACGAATGATGAGAATACCCTGGACAGATCAAAATGAGTACTGAAGACGTCTTGAAAGAAACTGATTCAGGACCGCATCAGAAATAGACAAGCTTCATTCTTTGATCACGTCAGGAGAAGAGGAAACTGGAGTACATCGTGGCAGCAGGAAAGTTGGAGGGGAAAGAGAGGCAGAGGGAGACCAAGAGAAAAGAGGCTGGACAGTTTAGCGCTAGGATAAGCGGTCACATGCAACGACCTGCCAGGTTTTTAAGATCAATACAGAAGTCTTTCAGTGAGGTCTTGAGGCTCTCAAGGTGGACCACACAAAAAACGTTTCTTTTCTGTCCACCTTGAGAGCAATACCTTTTAATAGCTCACCATAGAAAATTCTTTTTGGTAGTCGGTGGTCAGGCATGCAGACTATTTGACCTGCCCAGCGAAGATGTGATTGTTTTATAACTGAGTAAATACTGGACAGTCCAGCTCTGTCAAGGACTTCACTGTCAGGGATCCTGTCTTGCCATTTTATGTTCAGCAATAACAATTGCTGAACAATAATACATGAAGTGGAGTATCGCAGCATATCGTTAACTGAATATAATCAAGGGCAGGTAAAGCAGAATTAAATATAAAAAAAACAAAAACTGTATGATTAATATGGCATTACAATAAGATGCTTCATACAATGATAAATACATGGGGCACCACATAGTTTCAGTGCTCTGAGAAAAACAATGTGAAACTATGGGGTTACAGAGACTTTGGTGCAGTGAGAAAACATACTTTAGTGCTTTGAGAAAACAACTTAGAAAACAGAACTCAGTGCACCAGAAATAAAAAATGTAGAAAACAAACTTTTGGGCACTGAGAAAACAATATAGAAAACACTTTGATTCACCAATAAAACAATTTAGAAAGCAAACTTCAGTGCACTGAGAAAGCAATCTAGAAACAGACTTTGGTGCATTAAGAATACAATTTAGAAAACACACTTCGATGCACTGAGAAATAATTTATAAAACAGTCTTCAGTGCAGAGTAAAAAGACTTTGGTGCACCGAGAAAGCAATCTAGAAAACATACTTTAGTGCACCAAGAAAACAATTTAGAAAAAAAAATCTTCAGTGCGCTAAGAAAACAATGTAGAAAACAGTCTTCATTGCACTGAAAAAATAGTCTAAAAAACAGCCCAGTGCACTGACAAAACAATTTAGACAACAGACTTCACTCTATTTACTACAGATATACACTAGCATGTTTTCTGTCCTGTTCACGTGGAGACTGCTGAACCGGAGTGAAGTACTAAGAAAATGTCATGACTTCTAGGTTACAGATTACACATTTAAGAGATGAGTTGGTCAGTGTCTTGCATGACATTCTTCAACAAATCAAAGACAAGACCAGTATTTGTTTTATGACAATGACTTGAAGCAAAGGCTTCATCTGAGGGTGGACACACAGATGGTTGTGTAGCTTGAATATGGTTTGGTCATGCAACAAGACGGGCATCACACTGGACACAACAGAGGGCAATGTTATACAGATACAACTGGAACAGAACTAAAGGTCGACCATGCAGAATATATATCAGAGACACTGAAAAGTACTTTATACAAAGCCAAAATAAAGGCCCGTTCTAGAGATCTCTTTCTGCCCCGACGCCACGAGGCATTCCAGGAGTAAAGAAAAGAAGAAGAATAAGTGTGTGTTTCTTTTTTTTGCAGTTTCCTTACTACATATTTGTGTTCATACTAGTTCACCATCTGATTATGCTTTCGCTTCATCTCAGTGTGTCAAATTCATATTTTCTGGAACAAGACCAAAGTGGATGAACAATCAAAACTTTCTGCCGGAGTTTACAGCTGGTGAACATGAAGAAGAAGATCATCTCAGTGTGACATAAAATAAATGGATGTACACGCTAAACTCAGGTCCAGGTAAAAGCCAAAAGTCTCATGGACGAACTACCGGGACCTTTCGCCAGAACTCACAGGCGGTGAAGGAAGAAGAAGAAGTACGATGTGTCAACTGAAAGGTATAAATAACACAGCTAGGCTGTAAAGAGGCATAATCAATTACATAACTCAGACAGATGACGAACAAGGACAGATACAAGCTACATATCAAATTAATATTTAGAAAGCTGGACTTATGAAACAATGAATAAGAATATGGAAAAGAAGAAAAAGATAATGATGATAAAGAGGCAAAAGAACTGTTCACTGTCACAATGTATTAGGTTATGTGTAGAGTGTTGCATGGTTGCGAACTGTGCCAAAAAGATTTGATTTCTTAGTGCCCCTGCTTCATGTATGTTGATAACAAACGTGTTTCTATTATCTTGTGTTCACCTTGACATTTCTACTTCCAGGACCCATTCATAAATTACAGTATTATAATTCAAAACTGTTATCCTTTTGCATAATGACAACAATAAAAATCCCCCTACCCCCCCCCCACCCCCCCCCCCCCCCCCCCTCCCCACCCCCCCCCCCCCCCCCCCCCCCCCCACCCCCCCCCCCCCCCCCCCCCCCCCCCCCCCCCCCCCCCCCCCCCCCCCCCCCACCCCCCCCCCCCCCCCCCCCCCCCCCCCCCCCTCTAATCCAACAAACTATTCATTACAGATCAATAGTGGTTTGCAAAAGAAACAGTCATAATGATTCACAACACAAGTAATATTTAGTTATCATACTCTGCGGCTGAATCTTAATCTAAGAATTTATGTAAATCAGCTATATTCATGAATATGAAATCATAAATATGCAAGATTTTATGTGGATCAGCAATATCCAAGAACATCTGTGGATCAGCAATATTCAAGGCTGGAACAGCCATATTACTTTCTAAGTTGACCAGCAGAATAATATCAAGAAGATAATTACTTCTGGTGTGCAGGAGATACTGGGTCTAGCATAGATTTCCTTTTTGCCGTTTCTTTTGAGATATTTTGTTGCAGCTTGTTCAGACGACCCTTAGTGATAGATACAAGTGATAATAAAATATTAACAAACAAAAAATAATGCATCTGTTTCTTCGTCACATTAAGAATGTAAAGAGAGAACGATAAAAAAGCTTTGGGAAAATGAGCAAGGGAGTGACAAGAATGCCAGGGAGGTAATCTGGAAAAAGAAAAACAGAAAACAAAAAACACAGGGAAAGAACGAGCATACAGACAGACAAAAGACACAGGCAGGAAAAGAACAGGCACAGAGACAGACAAAGAACACAGACATGGAAAGAAGGAGCACAGAGACAGACTAAGAGAGTACAAGACAGAAAATTTGATTGTGTGCCATTTTTCTTGTGCTAATTTTTTAATGGGAATTCATAAAATAAGGAAAATAAATGATCTTGGCAACGTCCTTTCTAGGTTTTGGGATGAAGGGGTTAAGGTATAGAACTAGATCCATTTATTACTCAATTTCACAGGTAATCAGGTTGGATGCAGAGTTGCCGAACCATACATGGCTTATGCACTAGGGCCAAAACACAAACTAGTCAAGACCAGTCATATCCAAAAATGTATGTGGGTCAGCAACATCCAAGAATGTATGTGGGTCAACAATATCCAAGAATTTATGTGGGTCAGCAACATCCAAGAATGTATGTGGGTCATCAATATCCAAGAATTTATGTGGGTCAGCAACATCCAAGAATTTATGTGGGTCAGCAACATCCAGGAATTTATGTGGGTCAGCAACATCCAAGAATGTATGTGGGTCAGCAACATCCAAAAATGTAAGTGGGTCAGCAACATCCAAGAATTTATGTGGGTCAGCAACATCCAAGAATTTATGTGGGTCAGCAATATCCAAGAATTTATGTGGGTCAGCAATATCCAAGAATTTATGTGGGTCAGCAATATCCAAGAATTTATGTGGATCAGCAATATCCTAGAATTTATGTGGGTCAGCAATATCCAAGAATTTATGTGGGTCAGCAATATCCAAGAATTTATGTGGGTCAGCAATATCCAAGAATTTATGTGGGTCAGCAATATCCTAGAATTTATGTGGGTCAGCAATATCCAAGAATTTATGTGGGTCAGCAATATCCAAGAATGTATGTGGGTCAACAATATCCAAGAATTTATGTGGGTCAGCAACATCTAAGAATTTATGTGGGTCAACAACATCCAAGAATTTACGTGGGTCAACATCTAAGAATTTATGTGGGTCAGCAATATGCAAGAATTTATGTGGGTCAGAATCATCCAAGAATTTATGTGGGTCAACATCTAAGAATTTATGTGGGTCAGCAATATGCAAGAATTTATGTGGGTCAACAATATCCTAGAATTTATGTGGGTCAGCAATATCCAAGAATGTATGTGGGTCAACAATATCCTAGAATTTATGTGGGTCAACAATATCCAAGAATTTATGTGGGTCAACATCTAAGAATTTATGTGGGTCAGCAATATCCTAGAATTTATGTGGGTCAGCAATATCCAAGAATTTATGTGGGTCAACAATATCCAAGAATTTATGTGGGTCAGCAATATCCAAAAATGTATGTGGATCAATCCATGGTCATCCTAGATACACGTTCCCTGCCAGGAACTTTTTCAAATAAGAAAGGTTCAGTGTTTCCTTAAGTGTACATCTGCCTGAGACGTGGGGAACCAACAGCCTGCCCACAAGTAAGCCAGATCCGTAAAAAGGATGTGCATGTAAAACTGAAGTATTGGAAGAAGACCAGAAGTGGACGAACAATCGGAACTTTCAGTTTACAGCCAGTGAATGCTGCAGCTCTGAATTGCGACAGCTTCTTTGTGTTCGGTGTCACATGCTCAAGTCGACGACTTCCGTTTTCAAAATGGCGGAAAGCAGCTGTGTTTATTTTCGCTGGCTGTCAATTCTCTCGAATTGTTCTGTTTCATAATCATGGACTGCTATTTTATGCGCATTTCCAACGCAGGATATTATGTGTTTTTTGTGGGAACAGCGTGTATTGTGGTTGTGCTGTGTCGGGGCAGGATAATGACCGATAGTTTTGGCAGCCTCGACCACGCTGCCTTCGCAATGTTTTGATTGCGGCGGTCCACTCGGGAAGGCAGAATCTCGTCAGCAGGGGACTGCAACTGTCTAGAGAGCAAACTCGATAAAAGCTGTCCCCAGAAACTGAATGTGTCAACCATATATTTGGTGGGGAGGAATCGACACATACGGTTAACTCAATGGCCATATGCTCAAGTCAGACCATCAGGTGGGTTGCCTCTATGAACTCGCATGTCAGCAGCAGGTCCTTCATGGTTCCCTATAGCTGGCTCTGCACACTTTGCTCTTGAGTCTGGGTTTCTTTTCGAAGATGTAGGTAGAGTGGGCAGGTCTGCAGAATGTGCTCAGGTGTTTGGAGTCCTGTCTGACAGACACACTGTGGGGACTGTAACTGTCTAGAGAGCAAACTCGATAAAAGCTGTCCCCAGAAACGGAATGTGTCAACCATATATTTATGGGGAGGAATCGACACATACGGTTAACTCAATGGCCATATGCTCAAGTCAGACCATCAGGTGGGTTGCCTCTATGAACTCGCATGTCAGCAGCAGGTCCTTCATGGTTCCCTATAGCTGGCTCTGCACACTTTGCTCTTGAGTCTGGGTTTCTTTTCGAAGATGTAGGTAGAGTGGGCAGGTCTGCAGAATGTGCTCAGGTGTTTGGAGTCCTGTCTGACAGACACACTGTGGGGACTGTAACTGTCTAGAGAGCAAACTCGATAAAAGCTGTCCCCAGAAACGGAATGTGTCAACCATATATTTATGGGGAGGAATCGACACATACGGTTAACTCAATGGCCATATGCTCAAGTCAGACCATCAGATGGGTTGCCTCTATGAACTCGCATGTCAGCAGCAGGTCCTTCATGGTTCCATATAGCTGGCTCTGCACACTTTGCTCTTGAGTCTGGGTTTCTTTTCGAAGATGTAGGTAGAGTGGGCAGGTCTGCAGAATGTGCTCAGGTGTTTGGAGTCCTGTCTGACAGACACACTGTGGGGACTGTAACTGTCTAGAGAGCAAACTCGATAAAAGCTGTCCCCAGAAACGGAATGTGTCAACCATATATTTATGGGGAGGAATCGACACATACGGTTAACTCAATGGCCATATGCTCAAGTCAGACCATCAGATGGGTTGCCTCTATGAACTCGCATGTCAGCAGCAGGTCCTTCATGGTTCCATATAGCTGGCTCTGCACACTTTGCTCTTGAGTCTGGGTTTCTTTTCGAAGATGTAGGTAGAATGGGCAGGTCTGCAGAATGTGCTCAGGTGTTTGGGGTCCTGTCTGACAGACACACTGTGGGGACTACAATTTTTTTTTTATGCATGTGGTAGTTGAGCCTGCAGTGTCCTGTTCCTAGACATAAAATTATTTCTATTATTAAATGTTTGTGCTGTCTCCACAATAAAAGTTGCCTACAGTGACTACTGTTGTCTCTGGGAATACTATAAGGTAAGCCTAAATTCTTCCATGGTGTGACTCTCAGACCATTGTCCAAAATCCATAAGGATGGGTTTTTTTTTTAACCGTCTACCATGGGGAATGAACCCTAGTATTTGAGGATCATGAAACTGTTAACCACATTCACTAACCTCTTACCATCATCATCATCATCATCTATAAGGTCCTTTGCAGATGTTGCTCTTATCACGGCCTGCCTGAGAGAAACTTGGTCTCACGCCAGCTGTCCCGCCTTGTGTACTTTCATATTCAAGGAATCATTAATATCCTGTGCCAATCTTCGTGTTGTTCAGCCCCGGCCCCTCCTTCCTGGTACCATCCCTTCTGCTATATTTTTTGTCCAATCTGCCACAGAACATTGATGTTCCTATGTTTTAAAATTTCAGTATTTCTTCTCTTTTTTTGTGTGTCCAGGATATTCTGAGAATCTTTCTACATTATTTCAGCTCAAAAGCCCCTATTTCCTTTTTTTAAGGACTGGAAGATAGTTAACCGCTCACATTCGTATGTTGCTACAGGGAAGATACACGCTCTCAACAATATAAATAGGATTTCCATAGACTTTTAATGTTCTTTAATCGCTAACCTCTAAGCCAGACTTTTCAGTTTAGTTTACTTGGCATCTCTGGCTTAGACATTGTAAACGAGGTTTGTAATGCCAATGTGCCGGCTTCAAACCTAGCTGTGGGCGATTTGTCAGCAGAACGTCTTTCGTTAGTTTTAACAGCGGTACCAAGTGCTGACCGTTCAGAGCAATGGCAAACTAGTGAACACAAAATATGCCTAGAGAAATCCCACCAGCCAAAAAATGCTGGGGTTGGTTCTACAATGTCCTGTAAAGGATGCGTAACTAGCTTTCACTCAAGGGACCACAAAACTGAAAATGGGGACTGCCATGGGCCAGAGGGCCGAGCGCCAACAATAATTCATTAAAGTTGGCAATGATCCGTGGGCCACTTACTAGGACTCCGTGTGCCAGTTTCGGCCCACGGGCCACCAGTTGAACAGCCCTGCTCTAAGCCAGATAGCCATGTTAAAGCTCTCAATAACATGTAAGAAAACATAGTGTACCTGCCATTGTACCGCGATGGAAACCCACTGCTGGCTGTGTGGATTTTTATCATGGCATGGGGCGTCGCAGGTGGACCCAGCCTAAAAAGGGTACCAGGATGGCTGTCCTGGGGAAGTAAAGCTGGCGTAATGCTAACATTACCTACCTAGTGCCGATTGGTCTGTAAAAAATATTGGATTCTCTTTCCATATGTCCGATGCGCCTAAGGTGTGAAAAAGGATCTTGACTTTACTATAATGTACCTGCACATTTTGTAAGATACTGCTAACCAACATCACACGTCTTCTTGAGTTATTCAGTTTCTTTACGTAAGGCTCCAGGTCTATAGGTACAGTATCACTTTCCACAATTTTCTTCAGATCTGTGGATGCATAAACATGAAAGAATTCTAACTGTCACAGTGTGAAACATGTAGAGACAGGGAGACAGGAAAGTTTGATCAACACATGGTCGGACTAAAGTTAGTAATACAGGTAGCACGTGTTGATCTCAGGTAAAGACAGGTCAATGCAGGCTTATTTTGTAAGCACTTCGTGTTTAACAGGCAGCAGCACTTGGAGCTAGACAAAACAATGTTTCATAATAAATTCTTTATTTGCAAACTGCTGCATTGTGATGTTTATTTCTGCCAGACATTAACATGCATTGTGATACTTTAGACAAACAAGAGCTAGAGAAGAAGATGATTGCTAGATGTGTTCTTAGAAGGTAACACATCCTAACCAAGTGCCTAGAGTGTATGACTTGCACCAGTCACATACAAAAGCTCCCTCAGACGACAACAACACAACTATTAGGTTCCTACAGGAAAGCAAAGAGAGGCCAACTCAACAAAAGCACCCCTATATTCCAGGCACACGTGACTAACATGTCCCATCGCAACCACTAAACATTGTCCATGGGCACTGTAATACAACATATCACGCCATGTATAATCTTAAAGTGCAATCAGTCTTTATTATGATGAACACATTACGAAAAAGATGAATGGTGATCGACGGCACACTGTCAAGTTTACTACTGCCTTTACAAATACTCTAATTGGCAGTCTCACGAGACATGGACAAACACCCCAGCGAACTATGTTCCAGGTGCCATATACGGGCAACTCCCACCTGATCACGCAGATACACCCACGTCTACCCTTAAAGGTCCCATCACCAAGGACTCAAGGTACTGTTTGGTGAAAAACTCCAGACATCCTATCTGCTTCCCTCATTGAAACATGACTGACTAACATCCCGTTAATCAGCCTCTGATACCTCCCGATCACATTTCCACGTCAGTCAACTCACACAAAGTTCCCCAGCATCTTATATGAACAGAGGGAACCCAAACCATCGCGCTACATAGCCATCACCATGCCAACCCCGCAAACATGGCCAACACAAGTTCATTCTTGAAATCACACTGAAAGAATTTGGATTTGTGATTCCTCACAATCATCCCATAAATTCACAGGAGCTCCAACAGAATAAAGCCACATTGTTAAAACTATCACAACACAGTCCATTCGTCCAACAGACTGGAACAACTTGAACACACACGTCCACACAGTTAGACAAACTGAAAGCTAATGACTCAAAACCTTCATGGGACCTTCCCCTCCCGTGGTCAGTTACACATGGATTTCACATTCTCCACACAACTCAGGGAGTTTGCAGTCACCTGTGAATAACATGCAACCTGTTTCACAAGTTTTAAGTGGCTCACATGTTTACATTCCTAACCTGCCGCACAAAGTCCTGGCTTCATTAACTCTTTACAATCCCCAGTGATCTAGCACACAACAGGGATACAGACTCGACAAGCTATCTACCATTCAAGAGCCTTTGTTTAACATATCACACCACTTGGTAACTGACTGCAACAGGGCTAGGCGACCATGACACCAGGGAAAGGACACAACAACTGTTTGCATTTCTCCATCATCTTTATGTGAATACCATGAAAGGAGGCCTGCAGTCTTCAACTTGCCTAGGTTGGGAGGTGATCAGGGTATGTTTGTCAGCCCACATACACAGCACTTCTTACCAGCCTAGCCTAAAAGGACGAAGACTATCCACAGATCTATACCTAAACTACAGACAGTGATAGAGGCCTGCTGTTAATTTCATTCAACTCTGTTGTGTGAAGCTTTCATCATGATGAAACATGTTTGTAGTGTGTTAATACTCTAGTTAAACATGAGTATGAAACCAACTCTAAGACCATGAGATTATTTCATTTTAGGACTAACTAGGGCCTTTTTTCTAGAAACAAAGGTGCTGGTACTTAAAAAAAGGGTCTATTTTAATAGCGCTGACAAAAACATGTCTAGATAAAGGTGCCAGTACTGCAAGCCTTTGCGTACAGCCAGTAAACAGCTGTGGGATTAACATTATCTACTTTGTAGACCCAGTACCCACAGGTTCAAAGGTATTAGAGCAAAGCAAAGAACACATTTAGAAGGGAATTAGAGAACAGAGTAACTAGGATGGAGAGGACATGGAGCGAGTGATGCACCACAGCAAGGGATTGGATGACTTGGTTTCGGACCTAGGCTCCATTTGGAGAGAGAAGGCAGAAGATAGGGATTTAAAACAAAAACTTATACTGAAACAAGTAAATATGATTTGGAAAAACAAACAGTAACAATACATAACTTCAATAACAAACAGTAACAATATATAACTTCAATAACAAACAGTAACAATATATAACTTCAATATTACAGCTTCTTCTACTTTGCTGCATTCATCAGCTGTAAACCGGCAGAAAGTCTTGTTATTCATTCAAGACTTCTTTTTGTGTGGGCAGACTTTTAGTTCCTGACTATCAGGCTGATGCACTCTAAATTTAAAAGCTGATACATCTGTGCACTCTGACTTCAAAAGCTGATAAATCTTTGCCTTTTGAGTCAACACATCCGATTTTAGCAAATCCTTAGTTGCCTTTTGAGTCAAAACATCCAATTTTAGCAAATCCTTAGTTGCCTTTTGAGTCAACACATCCGATTTTAGCAAATCCTTAGTTGCCTTTTATGCTCCGCTTGTTAAGGTGTAGTGGGTTTATTCTTACCCCCAACCTTCCCAAAGTGGGCCCCAAAACCTGCATGGAAAAGATAACTATGGATACAGTTACCTTCATAGAGACTGTCAATTTTGTGTCTGAGATCCAACTGGCTTTGCCTGCAAACAAAAATATATACTCATTATTATTATTCCTTTCACGCATTCACCATCTTTAATGTTCTAGTTGGGTGAAGCTTTTTTCATCAGCATGAAATATCTAGGGGTCACAGACAATGTTTTAAAATAAACTAATCTCAAAGTAAATACTGTAGTTTATAATTAAATTAAGTCTACCAAATAGACAATAGAGACCACAGTCTAGACCAGGATTTTTCAATTGTTTATTCAGAGGCCAAAAATGTTTAAATGGGGATCGTCACTAGCCGGAGGTCGGAGCCCCAGCAAAGAAATAGCACAACTGGTATTGATCCATGGGCCACTTGCTAGGTCTTTGTGGGCCACATTTAACTCACATGCCACCAGCTGATGAGCCGTGGTCTAGATTGACTAGATCACTGAAACAGAGTCAGTAGATCAGTTCAGTTGTCAATCGTTGTTTTAAGTTCACAACAAGGCATAACTGATCCCTTCCAGTGTTAATAAAAACCACACAAAATTCCCATCACTGTATCATGTTTAAAGTCACGAAGATGGCTGCTGCTTCTAGAGCACTAGCATGGGCAGCAAAGCAAACAGCCACACATGCAGTAATTGTGTCAGACTCCATGAACATACTTCAGAAGACAGCAACAGGTGGTATGAGCTCTGAATAGGTAGAAAGCATTCGAAAACTGCACTTAGCCTCCCTCACCTGGATCTACACAGCTGGTCATGCTGGTGTAAAGGGTAATGAGCGAGCAGACCAACTGGAAAGCAATGCATCAGTGCATGTGGGAAGAAGCACGGACAGAGCATCATCAATGGTGTATGAACTAGGTTACTGGATAATGACGAATCTCTGACACAAAGACGACTGTGTGCAGGGGAGTAAAGCATGGTGAAGCACATCTATGCCGCCTACAAGGCCCGAGATAGGAGATACTATAATCAACTTCTCATGGAAACAATTAACAGAAACACCTTAGATTAGTTGCTGCATCGGAGGACTGAGCATGCATGGAATTTCCCAATGTCCAGTGATGTTGACGGTGATAACATAAAGTAACATCATGTTAAAAGTCAGATGGCAATATCTGCAAAATCCAACAGGAATTAAACGCTACATTAAATTCTGCCAACACCAAGAGTTTGCCACTAGCATTGCATCATTAATAATTAATGGAAGCAGAAATCAGGACAAACTATCACCAGCAGATGTTACATAAATTATTGCATAAGGCATATGGTTGACAACCATCCACCAGTCATTTTCTAAATATGCAGTCTACAAAAGAAATCATGGGATGTACAGATAAAAAGTATTCCACATCAAAATTCATAGCTCACAGTGTCGTACCTAGCAATCAGCTCAGTAGCTGCCGACAGAATCAGATGTTGTCTTTTACCTTTGTTGTTGTCCGTCCTATCCAGTTTCTAGCTGGGTGTTGAAACCCCAACCTTCCACGGGATTACTGGGGAGAATAAGGTCCACGACGTAAAACTGAGGCAATAGGCAGGCTTCGGCAAAATAAGCTGGAGACATCGGCTGTCTTATATTAATAATACTATTATTGACGACTTTCATTTATTATTTCATTACGCCATTAGGCATCACTGCTACATTGCTGGACCCCTAGAGAAGTGCCTAGCTTAGTCTTTTCCACTGGAAAAAAAACGAAGTTGACAAGAAGAAATGAACCTAAGAAGGCACACACATACCTAACACACACGACACTTCCATCTATTTCATCAACAGCAGGTTTAATCAACTCCACCAGGCCTCTAGTCATGACACCTCTTTCCATCATAATATCCAGCTTCTCCGCTTCTCCTGCCATTGCTACTTGCATTTGTTTTCCTTAGTTCTTGTCTCGTTTATGGGGCAGGGCTGCCGAAATTGGTACTTTCTTAGACATTTGGTACTAGTTAGTTGGTTTAGTTAGTTGGGTTATCATCATTGCACCCCAGACATGTCCATTGGTGCTCAGATCCTTCCTTCAGTATGAACCCAAAGGTGCTATCCACTAGCGAGCAAAACTGTAATTTAGGTACCACACCGGATGTTGTGTATTTTTTTTTTTTTTAGTATTTGTGCGTCAATATTTTCCTCTTTTTTTTTTTTTTAGCGCGCGTTCACCGACTGAAAACTTCAGGAGAACGTTCTGGTTGTTCGTCTAGTCCTCTTTTAGAACTCGAAAGCTGAGTGCACATACGTTTGGTACTAATGTCGAAATATTTCGGTAGCTCTGCTCTGAAAGTCCCTGTTTGTACAAATTTATTTCTTATAACGAATCAATATATATCATACACACAAACAAATTACATTAAAAACAATTATAATTTATGGTTATTTATTAGAAAAATATAATAAGTGAATACACAGCTTTATTTAATTTCAATATTTTTTAATAATAATATATTCTTCAGAATTTCCAGCACTTGAGGAGGTTAACCATTGCGTTGTCACCTTTATCCATCTGTGTGTGAAATCCCATGCTGTCTTTACAGCTGGTGACTGCGGGTGTTTGTAGTTCTCTCTGTATATTATCGCTCCCCCGTCATCTTGGTCTGTCTCATCGTCTACTCTCATTCTGTTCGGTACTTTGTGTATGCAGTTGTCTCTCTGTTATCTACCATTCCCTCTACAAGCCCGACCATTTTAGTCTTAGCCATTATGAATGATGCCAGTGATAAATGATGATTCAAATACATTACGAATGTAATTGTTTTTTTCTCATTTCTCAACTTATTGCATCTTTTATGAGTACAAGGATTAGTCGTAAGACCCTATATTCAAACATTTGTAACAATGCCTCATCGTTTGAACATAATACTATTCTTCCTTTTTCTGTCGGCTCAAGCAGAAGACACAATAGGACAAGTATGCATGCTGGAGAACATTGGGCGAGGAGAGGAGTGGGTCAGAGGAAAAGTCTGACCTGTGTAGGGTTATGATCACACTGGGCCGGGTGTGCAGAGAGTGGCCTGCGGGTGCTACGCGGGTTGAAGTCCAACAGTTGATTCACGACAAATCACGCCCAGGTGATCTGATTATCTATACATATGGTTCAGTGTTGAGAGGAAAGAGAAGTGCCTGGGGGTTCGTAGCAAAAGCCAATAAAAATCTTTAGTGTAAGACAGCCTACAGCACACCATCTAGCATGAGAATAGAGGTGGAGGCGGTAACTGCAGCTCTCCGGTGACTAGAGAACAAGATGCATATACATGTCGTAATTGTAACAGACTCTGAAAGCATGCTGCAAAAAGGTGAAGACAAGGATGCTTCGAGCAGAGTGGCTTGCTTCACTGGAAAGGTCACAGGTGGTGAGCATAACTGAATCTTGTCTCCAGGCTATGCGGACGTGGTGGGTAATGAACAGACAGACAGATTGGCTGGATCCGCACCACTGGGGGGTGAATTTATGCATGACAAGGCAGATGTCTTAAGGGCCCTTTGGGAACATGCATGGGAATGTTCCGAGTGTTGTTTTGTCCATTCTTGACTCAACTCTTTTTTTTTTTCCTTGAAATAGATTATCTACATCTGCAAGGTTATAACTAGTATGAACTTCACTGTCTTTTGTAATTCGCTCAGCGATCTGTAAAGTTTGACTTGCACAGGTGTTTCTCTTGGCCAACAGTTTTACCCTGATATGTTGTATCTGGAACAGTTATAATATTAATAATATAATACTATTGATAAATGCCGTATCTTTTTTGTCTTCCGTTTTTAATATTTTCTGTAAACAAGATGGCAGCGCCGGTGATTCGAGTGTTTAGTTCAGAGTCGCAGGTTGCAGAAAATCTATGTGAACTTGTCGCCACGAAAGCGAATGCTGCTATAAAGGACAGGGGAATCTTTACTATAGCTGTATCTGGTAATATTTATATGTTGTATTTGTATGAAAGTTACTTGTCATAGTTAAAGTCAGAAAAGTCCTGACGGCACTTTCAGTGGTGAAGGTGGTGGCATAGGCGACATTGAAGAACGCCTACTTTACCTTTCCTGCTCTGTCATAAACTTAGATTAAGTGTTAGTGTTATATATTGCAGTGTGGTCCTCCTCACTGTCAGCAGCTTTGCCTTTATGTGCCCCAACCTTTGCCTTTATATGCCCCAATCGTTGCTTTTATATGCCCCAACCTTTGCCTTTATATGCCCCAATCGTTGCCTTTATGTGCGCCAACCTTTGCCTTTATGTGCCCCAACCATTGCCTTTACATGCCCCAACCATTACCTTTATGTGCCCCAACCTTTGCCTTTACATGCTCCAACCTTTGTCTTTATGTGCCCCAACCTTTGGCTTTATGTGCCCCAACCTTTGTCTTTATGTGCCCCAACCTTTGCCTTTACATGCTCCAACCTTTGCCTTTACATGCTCCAACCTTTGTCTTTATGTGCTCCAACCTTTGTCTTTACATGCCCCAACCTTTGTCTTTATGTGCCCCAACCTTTGCCTTTACATGCTCCAACCTTTGTCTTTATGTGCCCCAACCTTTGTCTTTACATGCCCCAACCTTTGTCTTTATGTGCCCCAACCTTTGTCTTTATGTGCCCCAACCTTTGTCTTTATGTGCCCCAACCTTTGTCTTTATGTGCCCCAACCTTTATCTTTATGTGCCCCAACCTTTGTCTTTATGTGCCCCAACCTTTGCCTTTACATGCTCCAACCTTTGCCTTTACATGCCCCAACCTTTGCCTTTACATGCTCCAACCTTTGCCTTTACATGCTCCAACCTTTGTCTTTACATGCTCCAACCTTTGCCTTTACATGCTCCAACCTTTGCCTTTACATGCCCCAACCTTTGCCTTTACATGCCCCAACCTTTGTCTTTATGTGCTCCAACCTTTGCGTTTATATGCCCCAACCTTTGCGTTTACATGCTCCAACCATTGCGTTTACATGCTCCAACCATTGCATTTACATGCTCCAACCATTGCCTTTATATACCCCAACCTTTGCGTTTATATGCCCCAACCTTTGCCTTTATATGCCCCAACCTTTGCTCTTAAGTGCCCCAACCATTGCTATTTTTATATGCTCCAGCCATTGCAGTCTATTAGCCCTCATAGTGCCAGTAATTAAAGGCAATTTAACGGATTATGAATTGTATTGTTACTTCTCATTCTCCGCTGTTTACATTCTTGATGATGCCTGTTAACAAGTAACAGAGTGTGTTAAATTACTAATTTTAGTCCCTTTTTTTTTTCTTCATCAAAACAAGGTGGCAGTGCTGCCAAGTTTCTGTGTGATGGACTGCCTCAGGTAGCTACTGATTGGTCCAAATGGCGTGTGTTCTTCTGTGACGAGAGACATGTTCCTTTCTCAGACCCAGAGTGCACTTACAGCTTCTACAAGACAAACTTACTGCCGAAGGTAGCACTGTCAACAGACCATATTTTCCCACTGAACCCTGAGTTAACGGGTAAGCCTAGATACTGTTATTACCGCTGTAAATCTTTGTTTAAAAATCTGATTGTTTGTAAATCTTGATTGTTAAGCATTCCAGTCATAGAATATCTTCTCTTTTGCATTCACCGTTATATGTATGGCAGAAGGTTCTGGTTGTTCATCCACTTCTGGAGTCTTTAGTCTTATTCCCGAACTTGCTTATTTAGCAAGATCTAGCTTATTTATATGCAGGCTGTTGGTTCCTTGCTTCTGACCAGATGTACTCCGACTTTGAAGGAATCCCCTAATTTGTCTAACCTTATGACATGCTTGTTTGAGAGGCACTATATCTACCCCAACCTTTTTTTGCCCCAACCCCCCCCCCCCCCCCCAATGGGGCCCCAGAGCCCACACCATAGAATATACTACGAATGTTTACTTTTTAGGAACTTTTCTCGTGACAAAAATTGATGGAATTTGGGGCGCCAAGAAAGAAATACAAGATATGTGCACAACAATACACATGGGCGTCCGACGTCACTACCCAGAGACCATGGACAATTACTAGAAGTCCACATGAAAAAATCCCAGCCATCACCGCGGCCTGAACTTGGAACCTCCAACACTCGAGGCGGACGCCATGCCTCGAGACCACTCAGCCCCTAATCTGTAGGCTGTAGGAACCGTTAGCCTTTCCGGAGGACTCGCAGGATAAACATGCAGCTGGCACTGTCAGAATTGGAACTCTGAATTGGTGCTGATTTCTAGGTCGATCTAGCAGTGAGTGGATACTAAGAACAGTCCTGAGAAATAAAGGCGGCCAGGTGATGCTGAGTTCCAGGTCAGTCTAGCCTTGAGTAGATACTTAGAACAGTCCTGAGAAATAAAGGCGGCCAGGTGATGCTGAGTTCCAGGTCAGTCTAGCCTTGAGTGGATACTTAGAACAGTCCTGAGAAATAAAGGCGGCCAGGTGATGCTGAGTTCCAGGTCAGTCTAGCCTTGAGTGGATACTTAGAACAGTCCTGAGAAATAAAGGTGTCCAGGTGATGCTGAGTTCCAGGTCAGTCTAGCTTTGAGTAGATACTTAGAACAGTCCTGAGAAATAAAGGCGGCCAGGTGATGCTGAGTTCCAGGTCAGTCTAGCCTTGAGTGGATACTTAGAACAGTCCTGAGAAATAAAGGCGGCCAGTTGATGCTGAGTTCCAGGTCAGTCTAGCCTTGAGTGGATACTTAGAACAGTCCTGAGAAATAAAGGCGGCCAGTTGATGCTGAGTTCCAGGTCAGTCTAGCCTTGAGTAGATACTTAGAACAGTCCTGAGAAATAAAGGCGGCCAGGTGATGCTGAACACATCACCCTCTAAGTTCTGATTGGTCTATAAAATATAGGTCTAGTCCTACAAGTCCAATACATCTGAAGAAGCGGAAAAAGCGTCCTTTACTTTACTTTGTACTTTATTGCTGCTGAAAATGGGGCTATCCCAAGTGCTGTGATATTCACCTCAGTAGTTAGCATTCATGACAGAGTAGTACAGCGGCGGAAGAGAAGTCTCCGCATTATCTCATCCCTTAGATGCAACTTTTTTTTTTTTTTTTTTTTTTTTTTATTTAAACTTATGCATAGATGGTAACACTCAGTGAGCATGCATAAAAAGGTTTAAGAGAGTGGATTGACAGCATCCTGAAATCCCGCCTCAAGAAACTATCTTTGCTGGATACACCAGGACACAACAGGGTGAAAGAGGATGCAGGAGTCAACAGGCAGGCCGTGTCAGCGGTACTTAGTAGAGGAAGAAGTGTGGACAGGACAAACATCCTAAATGTGCTGCTCTCCAGAAACTTTGTGACAAAGGAGTCAGAAACGATAAACCACCTGCTGGAAATTGGTATTAAATGAGGACACACAAGCAGAAACCAGTTGTGAAACAAAGAAAGAAGAGATGCCAGTCGGGTCCTACTGGGTACGTTGATCGTGGAGACACTGAGATAGCTGTTGCAATAGAGGATGGAGCACAAGTGGGTCGCACCAATGTGCTGAAATGGGGTACACTGTTTAGATGTCACTAAGGCATGTATGTCTAACTTTATGTTCGTGTTCGTCTTTAGTTGAGCAGGCAGCAGATGACTACGAGCAAAAGCTCCACAGAGTGTTTACGGATGGGGGGCTGCCCAGGTTTGATGTGTTGGTTCTGGGCATGGGACCAGATGGCCATACCTGTTCCTTGTTTCCCGGCCATCCTTTGCTACAGGTACATATCTTTCTGTGTGCTTATCTTATTCAGTAACATGGTCTTTTTAATAACATAGAGCAGTTGTAGAACAAAAATGTTGGGGGAGGACCTCAAATTGAATACAGTGCAGACCTGATAAGGAGAACTCACCAGGAATGCAAGAAATAGTTCTTATCAGAAATTCCTGAAAACCAGATAAGAGTGGGGTAATTGTCTGGACTAAATAAATTGTTCTTCACAACAGAAATTCACCACATCAGAGTTTGCCTTAAGTGGTCTGCACTGTTACAAGAAGTCAGAAATGATGGTGATATCACATAAGTTTATATTGCCTAAATGTGCAGTTAAAGTCAGATGCTACAATTTGCTTTTGGTACACAAATTCAAGTATTTAGACACATAGATAACGTTAGATAGGAGGTGTATCAGAAAGATTTTTTAAAAATTGAAAAGAGCAAGCTAACAACTGCCATGTCATAGACCGAAGAAAATATGCATTTCATGTTTATTGTGCCTAGTTTTTGTAATTAATAAACAGCATTTGTCTTCTTCTGTAAGAATATTTGTTTACAGTATCTAATTTTTAATATTTACAGTTTTCTGTTTTTTTAAAGGAATATTTGTTTGCTACCTATTGATTGTATGCCTTGCATTTTGCTCAAAACAGACATTTCCACTGCCGTATTTCTCAAGCTTTGCTTTTTGTCTGTGTTTCACATGTGCTATTTGTAAAGTTTACCACTTTAACACTTCATTTCTTACTGCATTTAACAGATTTTTTGACAGTATGATTTTCATCTTTCATTTTCTTCAAGACAAAAAACAATTGTCTTCTGATGCTATTACTTTTCAGGTAGGTAATATAATATATTAATAAATCTTGCACAAACTACTAGTTCAGTCTTGTGTGTTTTTACTAATTTTCCTCCTTCAAGATCAAACGTTTGCTGGTTAGTTTGAGATCTTTACTGGTACCCCATAGTCTACAGTTGCTTCGTTGGGCCAGATTTCCTCTAACTGGTAAAGTCAGAACAGTCCTGTAAGGTCTTCACTAATGTCTCACATTTCCTTCACCTTTACTTCCGCTAAATGTTATTTATTTAGTCATGTATTTTTACCATTCCAGGAAAGCAAAAGAATTGCGGCCCCTATCAGTGACTCCCCCAAGCCACCACCCCAGCGAGTGACCCTCACCTTTCCAGTAATCAACAATGCATCTTGTGCGATTTTTGCTTCTTGTGGCGCTGGGAAAGCTGATATTGTCCAGGTATTTGAAATTAATGTTGCTAAATTAGGTTTATTGAGAATGTTTATCTGGCAGGTGTTAACTGTACTCTTCGTTAAATTGATTTAACTGTACTGAGAGTTAAATTGAAATTGTCATATAACTGTAAAATCGCATAATGGTTGTCCATAAAAAGCTTTTCTTCTGGGCATTGAAATTGAGTGCCAGTCCAATGTGTTGAATAGGCAGGCTGACTGTTTTTAGTCTTGCTATGTTATTTACTTCTAGTCACTGTCAGATTTTCCCCCCATATTTGGGCTTGGAGGGCATGACGTGATACTGTTAACTGCAGATTTCATTTGGAATGTTTTCTGACTGCTAATGTTGTTTGTGTTGTGAACTTTTCATTCAGAAAATGGTGAGTGGCCGATTGCTACGGAACTGATGGTGCCTTATGCGATGTTGCCTGTGAAACTACTGATTTGTTAAATAGAATCAGTGCTTCCATCTACAGTGAACTACAGTTCTGCAGACTGTGTGTGTTGTCACTTCTGATTACTACCTTCAATGCAAGTGTATGCTGTTTACACTACCAGCACTGGAGTTTCAGTTAGATTCACAGGGGACAGTTAATTGCATCCCTTGTGTTTTGCCTGGCACAAGAATGAAGCAGCTATAGTGTTGACCCATTTGTGGTTAATTTGGAAAGTGCGAAAAGCTGAATTTGAGCCTGTTAACAATGGAATATGTATATTTTTCTGTTAGCTTATAGTATTGTTAATTGTTAACTTATCTTTCCAGCAAGTTCTAGAAGGCCAGTCGGACGACCCGCTTCCTGCTGCCAGGGTCAGACCTACAGATGGAGAGGTTATCTGGATACTCGACCAGGGGGCAGCTTCCAAGCTGAAGCAAGCATCGTATAAACTCTGATCTTTGTTTATGACTTAAATGTAATTCTGTAGAAATATTACATAATGACTGTGTATGTTAGTTGCATCACATGTTTTATTCCTTGAACCAGTGGGCAAGGCACCTGATGATGATGATGACCAGTGGGCAGATCGATTGACCGGCACTCGTAGAAGTAAAAGAGTTAATTTATTCTGCTGTTTACTGGCCTCCAGTTTCTCTCCTCGGTTGATATGTCTGTGTGCAACTCATGAAGTCAGCAAGGCATATTGATCTGTTTTATTTTAGACTTTTTACAAGGGCACATTTCTCAGTTGCCTGGTTTTCATTAAGTTAGTTAATTCACTGCATATCAAACCATTCAGTTCGTACTTGCTTGGACCCACTGCTAAGTAAATCCCGCTGTTTGGAAGCTGACACATTTTCTTTTGTAGTTTTTTTCATTCTTTTCAAAAATTTTTTATATTTATGCTCATACTTCAAATACCACCCTGGAGGGAAAGCTGAACCCAACTGTAGTGAGCGATACAAGTGGGATGACACAGCATGTTGGAGTCTGCAGCCATCTGTGTTGTGGAGATGGCACCTGATTGACTTCATGTGTTGTTGAATAGAGTGTTTATGTGTGTAATGGGTGTTTTCATTTTCAAGATTGTCCTGAGGTCAGAAGTGGCAACAAAAACAAATATGTTAATGTGGTTTTTTTTTTTTTTTTCATGTATGATATTCAAAATCAATCAGGATTTGGCATCACTAGCTCTGGAAATTTCCATTACTGCTCCATTCTCTGCCCCAGTAGCCAATAGAGAGTTCCCATACTAAAGGTGCCAGTTGCAACATGATTACAAGTTTGCCTGTTTTTCCCCTTGTGTGTAGGAAATCATCAAGAGCTTGTTCTGTCTGTTATTCAGAACCTTTAACTTGGTCCTAGAGATCCCTCACCATGTCTGCTTTATCACAAAGTAACCCAGACAGACGGCAGCAGTAAATCTATCTTCCTGCTCATTACCTTGGTCCCAGAGACTCCTCACCATGTCTGCTTTATCACAAAGTAACCCAGACAGACGGCAGCAGTTAATCTATCTTCCTGCTCGTTACCTTGTAGACCTAAAGATACGGGCAAAAAATTCCACAATATACTTTTGTATCCAAGTCTAAGCAAGACATTTAAATGGATTAGGACTGAAGTGGTGATTGGCAGAAAGATTACAAAGTCTGCCTTAGGCTTGAAAGTTGATGTTCCAAGTACAACTTTATGGCTGGGGATTTGTTAAGGAAAGAGTAATTTTGGTTGTGTTGCTGTTTGCTTATAAAAATAATATTTAATGTTTCATTTGTTATTGTTTATCTTCATCAGAGTATGTGAGAGTATGTGTTTTGTCTGTTACTGCATCTTATCTTGTTTAAGTAATATTGTTATTATGTTTACTTACTGTTTTTTTCACTGATGATTCCTTGAATAAATTTGTTGTCTACCACTGTAGCATTACTGATGCATTTTTAGTTTTTTTTTTTGGGCACAATATGAAATTATATTAAAAACATAACATCTTTTGCTTGTTTTAATTTACTGTACGACTGATGAACACACATTGCATTGATAACAAGAGGGGAGAAGAGATGATGTCTTGACTGAAATCAACCTATGAATCGAACTGGTTACCAATATCAGAAAGAGACTATCTACATTCTTGTGCCTACATTGTGAGACGTGACAACTGGAGTACAGTTGAAAAGTGTAGGAAAAAGGAAGAGGAGACAAGAGAAGATGCTGTATCGTCTGGCATCATCAGAAACCACTTTTGCCATTAAGCATTGTGGGGAGGAATAATTTGTGATCCAGTGCACGCAGGTTGCCACTAGCTATTATCATGCCATAAAGGCGTAAGATGTCTTTAATGTTGTCGATCTATTTCTTTTGTGGCTGTTCTCTCGCTCTTGTAGCTGATCTTTGGAGAATAAGCACCTGTGGTGGTATTTGTTCTTGCTACATTATAACGAGATGCCAAACCACTTGATTTGCTGTTTCTTGATGAATCTGGTACAAGATGTTGTTTGCACAATCTGTGTAACCATTCGAGATTGAGCGAATAATGTTGCTATCAGCCGGCGGCTTCTCTCAGGCATCTCAGATTGGCATCATGGCATGGAAATGATTGGAAGCACAACGTAACAGAAGGCTGTCGAGAGATATGGCTGTCAACACCACACAGCATAGGTTATAGAATGAATTTACAATGCATTCTTCTTCTTCCACATTCTTTGCCCCTTTAGGTAGATATCACTCACCTCCGTTCATCTCTGTAATTGGCCTTCTTTTTCCAACTGGCGACTCCAAGTGTCTGTAGGTCTGCCTGAATTTTATGAGGGAATTTCAAATTAAAAATTTTAAAACAACGATGCTATTGTCTTGTAGCTTGACAGTATTGTGTTAAGGATGTTAAGCACGTGACATTGTGGTACAGATGAACACTGGGATGTCATAATGACAGGGTCAAGATGGCCACCCCACTTCTGACATGCACAAAAGAGGAGAAGCATTTTGGAATGTGGTTTTTGATCTGTGAAAAGTTGAAACCTACAGAAAGTCATCAGTGAATGAAGGTCCAGTGCGGTGATGCCTGTCAGTCCAACAGGTGTATAAGTGGAGCAGGAAGTTTCAGTTGAAGTTTTCTCATAAGTTCTGTCTGTTTTCAGCAGCCATTGTAGAGTTTCAATACTAATAGTGTGAATTGTAGTCTGATTGTATGTATGTTTGTCTACCTTTCTTCTGACTGTTGAGTGTTGGCCAAATCGTCTAACACACGTCCCTTTTACATCATTTTTCTCAGCCCTCTTGATCCAATTGTTCCTTGTGTTGTTCATGTGTTTTCGTGGAGTGAGACACGGAAAAATACTATATACGAAGCGTACAGAAAGACCTGTTCTAGGGATCTCTTACTCACCTGGCGCCATGAGGCTTCCAGGAGTAGAGACAAGAATAAAAATAGATATTGATTTTTCTTGTTCCTTTCTCTGCTCCTGGAATGCCTCGCGACGCCAGGGGAGAAAGAAATCTCTGGAATGGGCCCTTCTGTTTGCATTGTGTAAAGTACTTTCCAATGTCTCTGATATTTCTTCAGTCCATATTCTGTGCGGTCGACCTCTGGCTCTTTTACCATTGTATCAGTATAATATTGCTCTCTGTGGTGCCCTGTCTGGTGCCAATCTTGTTACATGGCCAAACCGATTGATTTGTTGTCTACCTATAAAGTTCAGTATTGGTTCTGCGCCAACTCTCCCCTGATTTTGTTCCTAAGTCGATCTTTTCTCATTACACCTAGCATAGTACGTAAACATTTCATTTCTGTTATGACTATTTTCCTTCTGTCTTCTGAAGACAAATGTCCATGTTTGACATAGATCGCATAGCATTGGTAAGAATATTGTGTTGAACAGTGTTCTTTTAGTGATTATAGATAGTAAAAATGACTTGGTGATTTTGATGTGTACAATGGCTGTCCGCAGTACACCCACTGCTGTGTTTGGGAATCGTATGTGGTGAGAACCCACTTTCTTCCACTGTGCAGCTCTCATACAAGGATCATCAAAAAACCATGAGCATTATTTTTTTTAAGCTTCCTGCATGGCTGTTGAACCCTGATACACTGAGGATGATGAATCATGTTCATTAATCTTCGCTGCACTGGTAACTAGATCCCAATAGAGACAGTTTGCACAAGAAAATTCTGCTGGACTTCTGAAATGTTTGAGATGTAGAATGAGCCCTTAGTGGTCTTCGCACTGTCCACGTAGGCTTTGAGAACCGCTGCGTTAACAAACCAGTCCAGCAATCATTAGCTTTGCGGTCGTGGTTTCTGATACCTAATAATAATTAGTGAGCAGATAAGAGAGTGTTAAAATAGTTTTGCCCATATATAAGAATTCTAATGTTGAGAGAGTTACAAAAGTTATATCCGTATTTTAGAATTCTAATTTTGACAGACAGCTAGAACAGTTCTTTCCCTGTTAGAATTCTAATGTTGTGAGAGTTACAATAGTTATGTCTGTTAGAATTCTCTAGCTGAGAGACAGTTAAAACAGGTCTTTCCCTGTTAGAATTCTAATGTTGTGAGAGTTACAATAGTTTTTTATGTCTGTTAGAATTCTCTAGCTGAAAGACAGTTAAAACAGGTCTTTCCCTGTTAGAATTCTAATGTTGGAAAACAGCTAAAACAGTTCTGCCCCTGTGTTAGAATACTAAAAATGAAAGACAGCTAAAGTATTTCTTTACCTATGTTAGAATTATAATATTGAGAGACAGTTAAAGTAGTTATGTCTATATTTTAGAATTCCAATCTTGAGATACAGTTAAACAGTTTTGTCTAAAGTTTAGAATTATAATGCTGAGAGACAGTTAAAATAGTTCTATCCCTATGTTAGAATTATAATGTTGAGAGACAGTTGAAATGGTTCTATCTCTATGTTAGAATTATTATGTTGAGAGACAGTTAAAATAGTTCTATCCCTATGTTAGAATTATAATGTTGAGAGACAGTTGAAATAGTTCTATCCCTATGTTAGAATTATAATGTTGAGAGACAGTTGAAATAGTTCTATCCCTATGTTAGAATTTTAATGTTGAGAGACAGTTGAAATAGTTCTAGTAGTAGTACTTTTACCCCACCAGGACATCACACAAGCAATAAATGCCCGATGACACAGTGCCACCATGTGGATGAGGATCACCAATGGAGAGGTCCTCCTGTTTAGCTATTAGGCCATATTAATGGCCGGGCTATATTGCGGCCTCTGGCAATAGCCAGGGTAGGGCTTCAAAATAACGAAAAATTGCATCCAACAAGGGAATGACTAAGGTTGTTTAAAATAGTTCTTTCCTTATTTTAGAATTCTAATGTTGGGAGACAGTTGAAATAGTTATATCCCTTTGTTAGAATTCCAGTGTTGAGCAACAGGTTAAAATAGTTTTGTTTAGTATGTTAGCATGCTACTGTTGTAAGACAAAGAAACCGGTTGAATGT